CCCCCCCCACCCCCCCACCCTCCCCACCCTGAGGGTAACTGATCATGAAAGAGCAGTGCGTGTAAGTGCTCTACAGCAAGAAAGATGATGAGGTTGCTGTGCGTGTGCAGGCATAGGAACATGAACCTTATTAACTCACCGCACCCCACCGGTAACTGATCATGAAAGAGCTGTGCCTGTCTCTGCTCTACGGGAAGAAAGATGATGAGGTTGCTGTGCCTGTGTGGTGCATAGGAACATGAACGTTATCATCCCAGCCCACCCCACCCCACCCCACCCCCCCCACCCCAGTGGAACATGAAAGAGAGAGGTTTATCTTGCCCGAAATGGCTAGTTCCCAGCATCAATGTGCGCGGATGACCGCTCTTTGTGCGCGGATGACGCGGTTCCGCTGTGCGCGGATGACGCGTTTGCAATGTGCGCAGATGACTCGCTTTCAATGTGCGCAGATGACGCGTTGACCATAACTTCATGTGGCAGAGGTAGTTTTTTTGTTTCAATGGTGTTCTAATGTTGTTTCGTGATGTTTCGTGTTGTATTTTTCTTTCTGTGAGATACTTCTTTGTTGAAATGTATTGGTTTCACCCTTTGGACATTTTGATATATTTTTGCCGAAAGTTGCTCGGAAAGCTTTGGCTGAGTGGCGCCTATTTCATGTCTCTACAAAGCACTCCTGCAGCACTCACGTTTGTCTAAGTTGCTGTACATCACTGTGAGAGATTTATCTCCGAATGTCTTGCAAACGTGGGACTTCCCAGCATTTCCTTGCACGCTACTTCGATTCTCATGACTGGCATGTGCATCGGCCTTGATCTCCCGTTGTTTCAGGCTCTGCTGTCAGCCTTGCACCCCTTCGAAGACAGCGGTCTTCGGCCATGGAGCCAAGGCCTTGAATGGCCGGTCATAGCTGGGTCCCGTTCTTTGAGTTTGAAATGCGTCTGAATCCCGAGTATAGCATCATTGAACAAATGGGTATAAATTTGTTTCTTGTGAGCTCCTTGCACTTGCCGGACCAGCTACCAGGTGTCTTTGCTCGGTTCCTTTGAAGTTCTCGAAGAGTGTCAGGCTTGGGCCTCACAAAATCTATCCAGTGTCAGTCCTTGCTTCCTCGAAAGAGCAGTCCTGATGTGTCTTAGCACAGCCAATCCCTCTACTCTGTAATTCTCTCTATCAACTTCTGATGCGTACGAGAAAGATGTAGAATCCAAAACTGTCATCCCACGCTTCACTTGGCTGGACTTTTCCTCGAAGTTGTTTTTGATGTCCTTCACTCGGATACTTTGGAAATTTTAGAATCGGAAGACCAGTTAGATTTCGATATTTTCCCTGATTCAGGTGTTGCGCCGGAATCACCGGGATGAATCGCAGCCTCCATCAGCCGTTCTCAGCTGGTGAGGCGGGGATGGGACTGTCAGCTTACATCGCAGCTCAGCAATTCTCAGCACTAATCGGTATACATGGAACCGCGTCGGTGGATCTGTGGAATTTGAAAGCTGAAGTTCGTGCACACCGGGATATGTCTTTTTGTCACTGTCACAGATCTCAGATTGCATGCAGCTTGACGTTCTTCGAAGCCTTGAAGACAACTACTTCGGTGAGGAAAACATAGGAAAACCAACATGCAATCGCATTGGCGACATTGGAGCCATGCTGTGTCCTGTCCTGTCCAGTTGGCTTCATAGGCGGGGGGCACTGTAGGTCATGCAGGTTTTGCATTTCTCTTTTGCGAGATTTTTCTGTCTCTTTGGTGATACTGTGGAGATTTGTTCGGAAAGCTGTGGCTGAGTGCCTTTTTCCCTACAAGCCACTCTCAAGATGTTCAAGCCACTCTCGAGTGTGTCCGTTGCATGAGAGACTCATTCTACATGTACCCTATGGTCCAGGTCAAATTACTCCCCTTCGTCCAAAATACGCCCCTTTCAGAAAGACATTTTTCCCCTAGCTGCCAGGTGAGGGGCATCTAGGTGTTAAGTTTTAACAAGGGTGTGCCTCACTTACTCTTATGCACTCCTACTATATTCGCTCCTTCTCTTCGTTTCTTCCTCTGCCAGCTCGTCATGGCTGTGGGCATCAACGGATCCGAGCCATGTTGCGCTCTGAATGCAGTGGGCCACGCCTGGACCCGAACATAGAATGTCAGAAATAGATGCCAGAAAGACTGCTAGATAGAATGTTCGAACATATTATGAAGATGTCAGATAGAATGCCAGAAAGAATGTTAGAAAGAATGGCAGGCTAAAGTATATGCCAGAAAAATTGCCAGATAGAATGTCAGAACATACGTTTGCATGTCAGAGGAAAAAGTCAGAATAAATATAAGATAGATTGCAGGAAAGAATGCCAGATAGAATGTGTGAAAATATGCCAGATAAAATGACAGATAGAATGTCAGCGGTCAGCGCATATGCCAGAAAAAATGTCAGATAGAATGTCCGTCAAATAGAGTGCCGAAAAGAATGCCAGATAGAATGTCACTTAGTGGGGATCACGATTTTAACACTGAGTTATTTCATCAAATCGAGCCATGACTTGGAGACAAAGGTCTCTGTATGTGCTTGTCAAAGAAGAGTTGAGACCTCGGACTGGGCAAGAATCCTTGTGCACAACAGGATGCATGGAAACAACTGCAGGCATCCGGAAAATATTATCGCTGCCCAAAAACAGTATAGTGTCCCCCAAAAAGATGGAAAAGTTACAACCTGAAAAACGACGGGAAAATTTTTCAGGTTTGCAAACTTTTCTATCTTTAGTATCGACTGAAAATTTACAGGGTTTCCTTAATTTTGATGATTTTAAGTTCACAATTCCCTGTAAATTTTCAGGCGATACTAAAGATAGAAAAGTTTTGAACCATAAAAACTGATCTAATTGTGACTTTTTCTCACGTATATGCAGACGATACTAAAGATAGAAAAGCTTGGAATAGCTGAAACCCTGTAAATAGCGCACTTTTCCCATCTCCCGGGCCTACACCTGTGATCGTGTCATTTTGAGTAGTTCTAAAAAGCCTTTGGCTTTCCTTTTTTGTAGTCCATGGCAACTTTTTTGCACTGGACGGAAAACAGCAACAGACCTCCCTCAGGCCTGAACACTGCATACAAGCTGGAATGACCCCTCGAAAACAGACAAAAAACACGTGGCATGTTTGGAAAACTGAAAAAATGGTACTTAAAACATTCTGAACTCTCTCTGAACTCCAGCCATCTGCGATAATTTGCTTGATTTAAGCAAGGTTTTCATCAGGAAATTTCTCCCCGAAATTTCGGTCAAAATTTTCCCGTCGGTTTTCAGGATGTCGGGTCAAAATTTTCCCGTCGGTTTTCAGGACGTAACATCCTGAAAAAACTTTTCTATCTTCTTGGGGGACACTATAGGCCTGTCAAGTTGGTCGTTTCAGCAATCCCCGGGTATCGGTTGGTTACGGAGCGACAACATTCCCATCAAGACATGCATATAATGACTATTTAAGATTTCTGTCCTTGTCTGTGAAGGAAAATGAGGGAAACACCATTTTCATAGAAATCTGTTCCATATAACAATATTCGTCTTGCACGAATCACCTGAAAACAAAGTAGGGAAGGGGCCTTTTGGCCTGAAAAAGTCGCCTTTTGGTCGGGAAATGTCGGATATTCACAAGACGTTTTTGCAAATTTTGGAAATGGTACAAAAACATCGGCGGTGGGGAACAAGTCGCCTTTAGACCTTCAAAAAGGCACACTTATCTGCCCGAAAAGGACAAACCCATGAACAATCACAAAGATGCGGGTTTTAGCAATTAGTGAACACAACCTTATAAAGATAATGCTAGAATTACGTATTGGCTACGTAATTACCAACATTTTTGCAGGCTTAATTATGCCTTTTTTACATCCTCTGACGGACTCTTACGGATTGCGGGTCCACCTACGGGTCAGCATCCCTGGGCATTACGTATGACCTGCGTAATTGGCAAACCCCCTTCAATGCAAAAAATAATGTGTGTCTTTGGGGGAAGCATACCTCCAGAAAAGCTTATCCTAGATGTCCATATCTGAATTGAACATCTTTATTAAAATTGACTAGAAACCATTTAGTAGCTATTTATTGGAATTTAATTTCACCTTGATTGCTGTTCATTGAAGTCCCGACACTGCACTTTGGAGCGGGGGTGGTAGGCTTTGGGGGCTAAGACTAGCTGGATGCCCAAATGCTTGCAGTGTTTAGGTCCGAACTGGATAGGGTCAAGGAAAAGGATACGCACTGTCCTGGGTCCCTGGGTCAAGTTGTGTGTACTTGCGTGAAATTGGAAGATCTTGGAAGTTGCCTTTGATTTTCTTCAGGTGCTGGCCGGAAGGAAAACAAACTCCATGTTTCCACACGTTTCCTTGCCGAAGCGTGGTTGTACTTGACTCCTGGCATGAACCGAAGCCTCAATTGGCTGAGAGCTTCAAAGAGATCATGTGGCCATATCCACAACAGTGACACCAAAATTGCAGGGTTACAACACGGTTTATGAAAGCAAATCATACCGATATCAAAATTCCATCCAGATACTGCAATGATGTTCCGTCCGGTGGGTTTGATCGAAACATATAGTCCTTCAATATTTCCTTATCTAGGAGGCTAGTTCCCAAGATTCGGCGACTTGTGACATTCTCGAGCAACGCTTTACCTAGCCATGGCGAAGTGGTCACTTCTTTGGCCTTTGACTTTCGGCGTCGCCAGCGCGCGAAGTTCTGAACCCACTGCGCTGCCCGGTGTTCGGACGGTTTTGGAATGTTTTGGGCCCATCTCCTCAACCCCACAGCTAAATTCAATTGACGGAACAACATCTTCATTCATCGGCGTCGCGCCTGTTTCCTCTTGTTGGGCCACTTGACACCTTTGGGCTGCGAAATTTCACCCGTATTAACCGATGGCCATGGAGTTGTCATGGCCTTGCCATAGCCGAGCTGAGCCCAGGTTCTGTAGTGATGACATCGCTTATCTTCAAACCAAGGCGACAGGGTCTGCAGAGGACGTTGGAAATCATGGGAAATCATCGGAAGACGAGGGACCGACATGACATGTTTTGGTACCCCAGCTCTACAAGCTCTATATCAGGAGGGTCAAGCTTATGGAGTGTGATGTTGGGGCCAAGTCTTCAGAACTGACAGCCTTCAGACCGATGTTTCTTGCTGTTTTCGTCTTTTTTCCAGGCCAGCCAGGCAATCTGTGACCCGGATGTCCTTAACTCTGGCCTCATGGCAGCAGCCTTGTCATGATTTTCCCATCAACTGATCAACTGAAGCTTGGAGCCATTCAGCCGCCAAGGTCGATGTGTTGGTGACGGCGCTTGCTTCGGCTGTGTGCCTGCCTCGGACGGCCAGAAGATTCCCACCGACGACATCAACGGCTTTCCGACCGGCTTCCTCCTGTGCGAAAACAACCCAGGCCGCTTGGCTCGGGGCTGGTGGCAGCTGCATGGTGGAAATGCTGTGATGATCGGAAAACAAAACTGGCGTGCAGAGCTGACTATGTGTAATTTTGCTGACCTGACTTCAAACAAATTAGTTGCCCTATGGATTTTCATGCTAGAATACTAGAGGTATCTGATCTAGAGGATAAGTCTTCCGTCTTCGAAGTCTTCCCGACTTGAGATGGGTCAGCCGGCGCACCCTGGCAGCTGTCTTGGACGCGCCGACGTGTACCATCTCCAGGGAATCTCCGTTCGCCTACAGCTTTCAGAACCCCAAGAACTACTTGCAGTGCACCGGCAGTTCAGTAGCATGGCACTGCAACAAGATCCGCTTGGCTCATTTCCAATCCAATGGATCCAATGGGATGCATAGAAAAGCAACTCATGTTTGGAATGTTTATATTTGGTAAGTTTAACGGGGGTGGGAGAATTAAACCCTTATTGAAGATCTTCAATGAATGTAGAAGTTTAACGGGGGTGGAAGAATTAAACCCTATTGAAGATCTTCAATGAATGTAGAAGTTTAACGGGGGTGGGAGAATTAAACCCTTATTGAAGATCTTCAATGAATGTAGAAGTTTAACGGGGGTGGGAGAATTAAACCCTTATTGAAGATCTTCAATGAATGTAGAAGTTTTATGGGGGTGGGAGAATTAAACCCTTATTGAAGATCTTCAATGAATGTAGAAGTTTTATGGGGGTGGGAGAATTAAACCCTTATTGAAGATCTTCAATGAATGGAAGAGTTTAACGGGGGTGGGAGAATTAAACCCTTATTGAAGATCTTCAATGAATGTAGAAGTTTAACGGGGGTGGGAGAATTAAACCCTTATTGAAGACCTTCAATGAATGTAGAAGTTTAACGGGGGTGGGAGAATTAAACCCTTATTGAAGATCTTCAATGAATGTACAAGTTTAACGGGGGTGGGAGAATTAAACCCTCATTGAAGATCTTCAATGAATGTAGAAGTTTAACGGGGGTGGGAGAATTAAACCCTCATTGAAGATCTTCAATGAATGTAGAAGTTTAACGGGGGTGGGAGAATTAAACCCTTATTGGAGATCTTCAATGAATGTAGAAGTTTAACGGGGGTGGGAGAATTAAACCCTTATTGAAGATCTTCAATGAATGTAGAAGTTTAACGGGGGTGGGAGAATTAAACCCTTTTTGAAGATCTTCAATGAATGTAGAAGTTTAACGGGGGTGGGAGAAATAAACCCTTATTGAAGATCTTCAATGAATGTAGAAGTTTAACGGGGGTGGGAGGATTAAACCCTTATTGATTCAATGAATGTAGAAGTTTAACGGGGGTGGGAGAATTAAACCCTTATTGAAGATCTTCAATGAATGTAGAAGTTTAACTGGGGTGGGAGAATTAAACCCTTATTGAAGATCTTCAATGAATGTAGAAGTGTAACGGGGGTGGGAGGGGGTGGGAGAATTAAACCCTTATTGAAGATCTTCAATGAATGTAGAAGTTTAACGGGGGTGGGAGAATTAAACCCTTATTGAAGATCTTCAATGAATGTAGAAGTTTAACGGGGGTGGGACTGTAATAATCCCTCATACCTTTGTTGATCTTCCCAATTGAATGTAAAATTTAACGGGGGTGGGAATTTATATTCCTAATACCCTTGTTGATCTTCCCAATTGAATGTAAAGTTTAACGGGGGTCGGAATTTATATTCCTTCAAAATCCCTAAGAAGTTGTGCGGGCGAACTGGGGGGTTTGCGCGTAATTTTACTATAGCAACTTGATAATTTCCAATCCAATGATATGTTTATAGCAACTCCAATCTTCACAATTTTGAACAGTAACATTGCCATGCTTTGAATTCATCTGTTTCTGTTTTCGGAACGACACGTGCATACTACAGGTGGGTCAATTCCGTTTAAAGCCTTAAAGGTCTTGTGAATTGATTTGTTGACCAATTCCACGCACTGCAACCTTTAAAAGTCAGCTTTATGCGTGCCCATGTCGCCCATGTCATCCTGGAACCCAGTCCAGGCTTGTTACAATTGGCGCGTCAAAGACTTTGCAGCTCTCTGCTGTGATGGCAATTCCGCATGCCGGACGGATGAGGGAGCGCAGGTGACCAACGAAGCCAACTTCGCCCTGACGTCGGGCAATCCCAACTGTCCTCCGGATGTTTGCTGCCGAGGCATCCGCGCCTGCAGTTTCCTGACCAACATTTCAGGAGTTAGCTCAGCTGCCTGTAGCAGTTCTAACGCTTGCGAGCAGGTCACCATGTTTTTGTCCAGGGACCTGTTCTGCTCGCGGCGCGACGCTTGCAAACGGGGCATTTTCCGCTTCTCAGCGGCCGGCACCGGACCTTCAAAGCACTGCGTCCAGTGCCTCGGCTCAGCCTGCAAGGGTAGCCAGATGTCCTTTACTGCCGGCAATGTCGAGTTGCAATGTCCCGGCCGCAACACTTGTATCACTCCCAATATCTCTTTGAGTCGATCGTCCTGCATCCATATCAAGTGCGATGTGCTCAGTTGCTTCGACATGAGCGTCGTCGATGACGACTCCAGCGGCTCTCGCTGTTTCTGCAGTGGCGCTGGCTGCACCAATCTGGTGGGACCACTGACGTGCGAAACGCCGTTGACGGTAAGCCCATGTTGCCTGGCTCAAAGTGCACCTAGAAGCTTTGTTTAGATCACTGGAGGTTCAGATGGGTCAGATCAATGGTTCAATGATTCAATGGTTCATGGCTCAACATGGCTCAACCAGTTTTAGATCAGTGGTGCGACCAGAGTTTGACAATACCAGTGCTTTGGGATTGCCCTAAAGGCCCCTAGGCCCCCAGGCCGCTGGCGTCGGAGCTCACCAAGGTGGTCAGGACATCTGCAAGGAGGACAGAAGTCCACGTGCCTTTTGCGACAGAGGGCTCCGAGATCCTCCAGATTGCTCAGCGTGCGCCTCTGGTGGAGGTGTGGTTGGCGATCCTCATATTACTACGCTGGATGGTCGACGCTACACGATGCTGCAGCAAGGGAACTTTTTGCTATGGAGCTTTTCAGGCGGATTGCAGTTTGGACATCTGTTCTATGTTGGCTTCGGGGCTTAGGAAAGCTCCGAAGCCAGTAGTTTCGCATTCCCTGAGCCGGGCACAGGAGAGGTAGGTTTCTTCAAACCATTAAGCTATGGGGTTTAAGTGGGAACGCCTGGCACAGGTTTGGATGCAGAAGTTCCATGGGCTACTCGGCTTTGAGGGCTCTGCCCTGGTTCATATTGTATTTGAAAGAGCGGATGTCGGAATGGTGGAGGGTTTTTCTAGGGAAAGACGTGGTGTTCGCGGTTGGGAAAGCAATTTTCTTCGGCCCGAAGACTTCCTGGTTTTTCTGAAATCTCGACAGATTCAACAGATCCAATTCGCCAGCGAAATCTGAGGTGAATGGCCAAATGAAGAGTCTTCGCTCAAAAGGGCTAAAGTTAAGCTTGGTGCTTGTTGTCAGTACAACGTGTTGTACTGGACATGTGTATCCATGTGTATCCATGAATCACAGGCATCGGGTCGTTAGAGTAGTTAATGGATGTTAATGGCAGTATAGCGCTTGACTCTTTTCATGGGTGTTTGAGCTTTGGAGCTTTGGGTCAGGCTGTGTGTGGCCTCACTTGGTTGAAGATTTCAAGACTTGAGAGATTGAGGCTTCATTTTCAGTGTCAACAGAAGCTTTAACTTGTTAAGTCATGTTAAGTATTGTTAAGTCTTTATCGACAGGACAAGTCTGCCACTTCAACTGAAGGCGAATTCCGCTCGATTTCCGAATCTATACCCACTACTCAGGCAGCATAAGCATCGAATTTATTTCATCCTTTGCCCGTGCGTTGCTGCAGTTTCCATGTTTTTGGACAGCCGAGAGTTCATTGAGTCGGATGAGGAAATTGACGAAAATTGACGAAAATTGACGAAAATTGACGAAGCACTGTTACCCTTCCTGCTTAACGTAGACCTGTCAGCCCAGTGTCAGGTCGAGCGTCCTTCACGAAAGGCATTCTGTTGGTCGACGCTCGACATTTCTGTGCTGATTTTTGTGCCAGAGCGGGACGTCGCTCAGATGCCGTTGGTGTTTTCATGTCGTCCTTAGGACCGCTCTGGAGCAGCACCTCGCCAGGTGCGAAGAGCGGTTGTGAAGGTTGTGAACCGGTTGGTTTTATGTCATTTTAACATATTTTAACTACTGTTCGGTTAATTCATTTAATGTCAATTATGTTATTTTGTTCGGTTTTTGATCGTTTTTGGCAGCTCAACTACGCAGCTAGGATGAATTTGGTGAATTTCAAGTCAACGACAGTGATCGATGTGATCGACAGGCCTTGGAAGTCACGTCTTTGGACTGCGCTTGGAAGACCAAAAGCACCGGCAGCTGGCGCCGAAGCGAGACGGAATTTCTGATCCTCGGACCATTCTGTGACATGTTCAGCATGTTTTCTCGTGAATATCAGTGATGTGTTCTATCTTTACAACATAAGGTTCTCCAACATCTTTTTTTTGCAACATTTTGCAACTCCTTCTTGAAGGTCCTGGCTACTACCGAATCGACAAAAACGTGATATTTTGGTGAAATCGTTCTGGAATTATACGGGCTCAGGTTTCACTTCAGTCTTGCACCAAGGAATCATCTTCAGCAAAACTTAATTGAAAACCTCTAAGACTCTAAGTACATCCAGAAGGTTTTGATTTTGTATGATTTTGTCACAAATTGTCCATCGTTTTTCACGGTTCTCACACCGTCCCCAAGGGACGTGCCTCGGTGCCTCGCAGCGCTTCAGGAAGCTGGAAGCTGCGGGAGCAACCTTCGGAGCTTTCAACGTCACCGCTGGAAAGGCGTGGCACGAGCGACAGCAGCGACAGGACCTTGGACGAATTGAACGTTCCGAGGTGCAGTTCCTTGGTTTATCTTGGTTTCAGGTGCTGGATATGACGCCACCTGAGGCCGAGAGAAATGACAACATCACCATCTCGGGTAGCGAAATTGGATCTTTTGGATGCTTTTGGCGTTTTGGCGTTTCTCCAGTTTCAACCCAAACTCTACTAGAGTATATCATGAGATGTTTTGCCAGACTCGTTTCAGACCCTGACTCAGTAGAAGGGATTGAACAAAACTGAACGAAGGATGGCAAGGGCATATTCTTTATTCAAGTCGATCATTTCAATCATTTCCCTATTACAATCCTATTACAAGTGGATCAAATGGTACTTTCCCATTGCTATCATTGCTGCATGTCTTCAGTCGCTCTCGAGCTAAGTTTCCGCAGCTAGGCTTTTGATGCGACAGAAGGGATGGACCAGAATTGCGCAGCTGCGGGTCACTTGCAAGCCAGGTGCCCCCGGTGGCCCCGGTGGGGTGCTATCGGATAGCAACATGATTCTGATATATTCTGATGCAACATGCAATGATCATTGCAAATCATTGCAACACATCCCAGGCCAAAGGGATCCAAAGGGCAAGTTTAAACCTCGACATGTAGAAATAAAAAGAAATACAAAGTTTAACCATGGTGGGCCCCGCCTATCTTTTTCTGGCGCCTGTTAAGCCGGAATATTCTGCCGGACTCATGCGCAGCAGTGTAGGTGGAGCTGACTTTGATAAAATCGAACATACCCTCTGGTAAACTAACATAACTGGAAAATCACCATTTTTAATGGGTAAATCAACTATTTCTACGGCCATTTTCAATAGCTTTTTGTATGTTTACCAGGCCGGGTAAATGGATCCCAAAACATGGTGCCCCATGGTGCCTCCAAAGCTTTGACCATGGGAAGGTCTGGGACTTATGTTATGCGAAGTGCGCACGGCGCACCTGATTTTGTTTCGAAGTCTTCTTCCTGCTACGGAATGCGTTTTAATGTTGATGGAAAGTACAGGATTTTTAAGCCTCTTTCAAAAGTCTTGCCTAGCCGTCTGCAGGATAGACAAGAGAACAATGCGCAGTAAAACCTTGGTATGGCATAAGCGTTCCATGGCATTCATTCCGTTACGCTTTGGAGAGTTCCTACAGATCAGCACGATCAGCTGAAGTCGGGGTCGAGTTGGCCACGCGTCAGGTCATCACATTGCCGCCAAGCTGAAGATGTCCAGTACGGCGCAGAATCGCTTCGTGAAAGGAGAACTGGCTCCTAGCGGCCACTCCACTCTCGTGGCAGGCGAGGCCGAGGCTGTCGCCCTCGGTTTTAAGCTCGGCCATGGCTTTTGAGTACGAAGTGCGAAAGGGGTAAGATGGGATAAGCAATGGTAAGTACCCAGATTCGCTGGACATTTGTTGGCTCATGATCTTTGTTGGCCGTGTCCATGCAGGCCTCGTGTGAATTCATGTGTCATCTTGATTTGTCTGATAGAATGCTGGCTTTCTAAGCACATCTCTCTTCTGAATTGGGGTGGCTGGAGGGGGTGCTCACGAACCCACCCAGTTCAACTAAGCATCAACCTGGCCATGGTGTAGGTTTGAAGGGTGGACGACTGGCTTTTGTGGCGAAAGACACAGAGCCCCTAGCCTTGCAGGGAGCAGACGTTTTTGTTTGAAGATATGATGGTCATACAGGATGGTGCCCCCCAGTTTTAATTTGGTTTATAAACCCCATTAACTATACTATACTATAGTATACTATATAGTTATATCTACCATAAACCATAGTTAAGTCACTTATAAGGCAACCTAGCTATCTTGGGGGCCCCATCTTGTAGGTTTCACAATGTTTCACAGCAGATGTCGAGGTTTGCGGCGGACAGCTGGAGGGACTTGGGTGGAAGCCAGGAGACGGCAACGTACTTGGCATCGACAGGACGGGGAAGATGGTCGTTGGTCGTTGGAGCGTTGGTCACGGTTGGAATGAGATGGACTCTGATGGTTTTTATGATGGATTTTTGGTGATGTTTTTGTATTTTTGGTGAGGTATAAAAACGTCGATCGAACAAGTCTAAGATTCGGGAAACGATGAATAAACGATGAATAAACCAACCATACCAACCAGGGTGAAGCTGTGGCACTTCATGGTTTTCGGTGATCGCAGGAGCTGAAGGATGGGAATTTCTCTCGCGCTGCGAAGGGCCAGAGGAGACCGCAGCTCTTGCAGTTTGCCAAAAGCACTGGGCTCTGGCCAAAGCTGGAGATTCGTCGAAATTCGTGGGTTCTCGGAACGAGGTTGAGCAGAAGGCCAATTTCTTGGCTGATTGTGCTTTTGACGTTTGTGCTGGTGGTGAAACTGCCGCCCAGCTTGCAGCAGATCTGCTGAACTTTGAATAGGCCATGGCTGCAGGCCTTGTAGAAAGGCTCTGGGTCTCCTGGAAACGCATGGAAGCACTGAGGCACATGCGTCCTTGAGCCGTGTGCTTATCAATTATTACCCACTGAATTCGTGAGTTGGAAGCAATTGCGCGTGATATATCATCTGCGTTGACTTCAGCCAAGAGCGCAGATCAACGCAGATGACGTGGCTGCTGTGACTGCTTCTCCCTCCGCGCCAGAATCTTTGAGTAACAAAACTCCAAATCTTTCTGCAGTTGTCAGAGTGACATCGAGCTTTGATCAGTCCTTTCTTTAACCACAGGTTACCAACAGGTTAGCAGAGTGCCTTGCTTGTGACATGGTAAAATTAAATTCAGATGTAGGAATTTTGCACATTTTGGCTAATGGATATGTTGAAACAGGTCTGAGCCTCCTTGCCTCTAGAAACTCGGAGTATTGGCAGCTAGAAACTCGGCAGCTCGTGGTGACTCGAATAGTTTACATTTTTCATTTTGTCCGTCATGTTTTGCGATGGCTTTTTGTCATGTTTGCCGATTTGGTGCCGAAATTGGTCATGAATGGTGGAACGGTTCATCATGATCTCGACACACTCGTTTTTCCCAGCTCTTGAGTGTCTTCAGGTGAGAACTGGGGCATGTGATGGCGCAAAAATCAATGGATTTTCATGGCATTGCCATAGCTGTGGCTTGGCATAAGCACGTTTACTGCTTAACGGACATGTTGGCACAGATGGTAACCGCATTTAACGGGGCACTCAAACAGCTCCCCACAAGCCTTGTTTCCCATCCTGGGTTTAGGTGAACATATAGATGATCAATGGTTGGACTATTTTCCCAGGTGTTGTTTAATGATTGTTTCCAAAGATTTTTCTTCCGTTAAAACTGTTTTCATTAAAACAAACAATGATTGTTGTTCATGGTTTCACGTTTTTTTTCACCATCAGGTAATTAAAAAACCATTCCACTGATTGTTGTTGATGTCGTTCTCTGTGCGTTTCTGCTGATTTAACATGTCTTGCCAAGTCATAACTGTAACCCGACCACCTGCTATGACCAAACCAAGCCTTGCAAGATTTGTGGTTCGTGGATATAATGGGACGAGGTATCATGGTAGTATTATAAATGGGCTAACGCCCTGGTGCTGCCGAAGCCCCTTTCAAGGGGGGCATGGACTACTGGATATGTTTGCCAATGTCGTTTAAGTAAAAACAAATTGTGATGAAAGAGAATGTTGTTTATGAATGTGGTGGGCGACATAACAGGCGATGACTGGCCCGGCAGCTCTTGTGCTCGGTTGCTCCGGCTTGCTTTGGCAGCGTACTTCGGCCTGCGTTCCAGCAATGAAGTGTTCACCGATCATAAATCTTTGGTGAAAACTCATCGGCCCATCGGCGCACTTGCCGGACCAGGTGTCTTTGCTCGGTCCCTCTGCAGTCCTCCAACATTTCGAAGGCTTGGGTTGGCTTGGGTTGGACAAAACTGGAAAGATACATTTTGGATGAACCGTTTTTTGGGGTTTCCCAGGTTTTGTCAGATCTATCATGTTGCACTTTGTAATATGCAAGCAAAGTTTTATTTGGCCTAAGTTGCTTCGAGGTGTTCCCATGATAACTTGCCCCTGGGGGCGGCCGAACTCCAGTCGACACTCTCAAGCTGGGAGGGGTCGATTGGTCAAGGGGTACACAATCCATAACTGGTTTTTCCAATCCATAATGTTTTTCTCCAATCCAGAATTAAAATACAATGTCCAAACCTCAATATAAATATATATTCCAATCCACGTTAAAAAAATAAAAACGATCACGACAATCCATCGATGCATTTTGCAGCTGTTCTTGGCTTTTCAAAATACAAAAAAAAAGGAATTCTGGGCAAAATACAATGGCCAAAAATTCCATTTGGGGCAAAATGCAATGGAGAAAACGTAGAGGTTTCGGCAAAATACATACCCAAAAAAACATGTTGGGCAAAATACAATAGAGAAAGAAGGCATTTTGGGCAAAATACAATGGAGAAAAGCGTAAAGGTTTCGGCAAAATACATACAAAAAAACACCTGTTGGGCAAAATACAATAGAGAAAGAAGGCATTTTGGGCAAAATACAATGGAGAAAAGCGTAAAGGTTTCGGCAAAATACATACAAAAAAAACATGTTGGGCAAAATACTATAGAGAAAGAAGGCATTTTGGGCAAAATGCAATGGAGAAAAGCGTAAAGGTTTCGGCAAAATACATACAAAAAAAAACATGTTGGGCAAAATACAATAGAGAAAGAAGGCATTTTGGGCAAAATACAATGGAGAAAAGCGTAAAGGTTTCGGCAAAATACATACAAAAAAAAACATGTTGGGCAAAATACAATAGAGAAAGAAGGCATTTTGGGCAAAATACAATGGAGAAAAGCGTAAAGGTTTCGGCAAAATACATACAAAAAAAACATGTTGGGCAAAATACAATAGAGAAAGAAGGCATTTTGGGCAAAATACAATGGAGAAAAGCGTAAAGGTTTCGGCAAAATACATACAAAAAAAAACATGTTGGGCAAAATACTATAGAGAAAGAAGGCATTTTGGGCAAAATACAATGGAGAAAAGCGTAAAGGTTTCGGCAAAATACATACCAAAAAAACATGTTGGGCAAAATACAATAGAGAAAGAAGGCATTTTGGGCAAAATACAATGGAGAAAAGCGTAAAGGTTTCGGCAAAATACATACAAAAAAAAACATGTTGGGCAAAATACAATAGAGAAAGAAGGCATTTTGGGCAAAATACAATGGAGAAAAGCGTAAAGGTTTCGGCAAAATACATACAAAAAAAAACATGTTGGGCAAAATACAATAGAGAAAGAAGGCATTTTGGGCAAAATACAATGGAGAAAAGCGTAAAGGTTTCGGCAAAATACATACAAAAAAAACATGTTGGGCAAAATACAATAGAGAAAGAAGGCATTTTGGGCAAAATACAATGGAGAAAAGCGTAAAGGTTTCGGCAAAATACATACAAAAAAAACATGTTGGGCAAAATACAATAGAGAAAGAAGGCATTTTGGGCAAAATACAATGGAGAAAAGCGTAAAGGTTTCGGCAAAATACATACAAAAAAAACATGTTGGGCAAAATACAATAGAGAAAGAAGGCATTTTGGGCAAAATACAATGGAGAAAAGCGTAAAGGTTTCGGCAAAATACATACAAAAAAAACATGTTGGGCAAAATACAATAGAGAAAGAAGGCATTTTGGGCAAAATACAATGGAGAAAAGCGTAAAGGTTTCGGCAAAATACATACAAAAAAAACATGTTGGGCAAAATACAATAGAGAAAGAAGGCATTTTGGGCAAAATACAATGGAGAAAAGCGTAAAGGTTTCGGCAAAATACATACAAAAAAAAATGTTGGGCAAAATACAATAGAGAAAGAAGGCATTTTGGGCAAAATACAATGGAGAAAAGCGTAAAGGTTTCGGCAAAATACATACAAAAAAAAACATGTTGGGCAAAATACAATAGAGAAAGAAGGCATTTTGGGCAAAATACAATGGAGAAAAACGTAAAGGTTTCGGCAAAATACATACCAAAAAAAACATGTTGGGCAAAATACAATAGAGAAAGAAGGCATTTTGGGCAAAATACAATGGAGAAAAGCGTAAAGGTTTCGGCAAAATACATACAAAAAAAAACATGTTGGGCAAAATACAATAGAGAAAGAAGGCATTTTGGGCAAAATACAATGGAGAAAAACAAAAGTATAAAGGTTTCGGCAAAATACATACAAAAAAAACATGTTGGGCAAAATACAATAGAGAAAGAAGGCATTTTGGGCAAAATACAATGGATAAAAACGTAAAGGTTTCGGCAAAATACATACAAAAAAAACATGTTGGGCAAAATACAATAGAGAAAGAAGGCATTTTGGGCAAAATACAATGGAGAAAAGCGTAAAGGTTTCGGCAAAATACATACAAAAAAAATCATGTTGGGCAAAAACAATAGAGAAAGAAGGCATTTTGGGCAAAATACAATGGAGAAAAGCGCAAAGGTTTCGGCAAAATACATACATGTTGGGCAAAATACAATGGAGAAAGAAGGCATTTTGGGCAAAATACAATGGAGAAAAGCGTAAAGGTTTCGGCAAAATACATACAAAAAAAACATGTTGGGGGCAAAATACAATGGAGAAAAATTGCATTTTGGGCAAGATACAAGGGAGAAAAGCGTAAAGGCTTCGGCAAAATACATCCAAAAAAAAACATGTTGGGCAAAATACTATAGAGAAAGAAGGCATTTTGGGCAAAATACAATGGAGAAAAGCGTAAAGGTTTCGGCAAAATATATACCAAAAAAAACATGTTGGGCAAAATACAATAGAGAAAGAAGGCATTTTGGGCAAAATACAATGGAGAAAAGCGTAAAGGTTTCGGCAAAATACATACAAAAAAAACATGTTGGGCAAAATACAATAGAGAAAGAAGGCATTTTGGGCAAAATACAATGGAGAAAAGCGTAAAGGTTTCGGCAAAATACATCTATCCTATCTATCCTATCTATCCTATCTATCCTATCGATCCTATCGATCCTATCGATCCTATCGATCCTATCGATCCTATCGATCCTATCGATCCTATCGATCCTATCGATCCGATCGATCCTATCGATCTATGATCTATCCTATCGATCTATGATCTATCCTATCGATCTATGATCTATCCTATCGATCTATGATCTATCCTATCGATCTATGATCTATCCTATCGATCTATGATCTATCCTATCGAAATCTAATCTATCGAAATCTAATCTATCGAAATCTAATCTATCCTAATCTAATCTATCCTAATCTAATCTAATCTATCCTAATCTAATCTAATCTAATCTATCCTAATCTAATCTAATCTATCCTAATCTAATCTAATCTAATCTAATGTAATCTAATCTAATCTAATTTAATCTAATCTAATCTAATCTAATGTAATCTAATCTAATCTAATCTAATCTAATTTAATCTAATCTAATCTAATCTAATCCAATCTAATCTAATCTAATCCAATCTAATCTAATCTAATCCAATCTAATCTAATCTAATCTAATCCAATCTAATCTAATCTAATCCAATCTAATCTAATCCAATCCAATCTAATCTAATCCAATCTAATCTAATCTAATCCAATCCAATCTAATCTAATCCAATCCAATCTAATCCAATCCAATCTAATCTACTCCAATCCAATCTAATC